AAATTGCATTAGGCTTGTCAGTAAAAGCAAAAAATTCAAGAAACCACCGTGGTACTCCGCAGATGTGGCCAAAATAGTTAAAAACAAAAAGTTAGCATTTAGGAATTATAAAAAAACCCAGAGTGAGGAAGACAAAATGATCTATAAGATTAGGCAGAAAGAGGCTAAGCAAGTTATAAGAGCTTCCAAATCACACACAGAAGAGAAAATAGCACAGCCAGTAAAAAAATAAATAAAAAAAAGGGACAAAACATTTTTAGATACATACATGAGAAAAGGAAAGTAAAACAAGGATTAGTTAGATTAAAAACAAAAGAAGGAAGGTATGTAGAAGAGGATAAAGGTCTAGCTGACTGCCTCAAAGAATATTTTTGTTCTGTATTTACAGATGAAAATGAAGGAAAGGGACCCCAGTTGAGAAAAAGGATAAATGAGTCATTTATTACACGTTTGTTTACCGAGGAAGAGGTTCTATTTTAACTGGCAAAAGTAAAGTCAAATAAGTCAATGGGACCTGATGGAACACACCCAAAGCTATTAAAAGAGCTTAGTGGTGTACTAGCAAAACCATTAACAAATTTATTTAACCAATCATTGTTAACAGGAGTAGTCCCAGAAGATTGGAAGTTAGCGAATGTTGTGCCCATTTACAAGAAAGGTAATAGGGAGGAGTCGGGCAACTATAGGCCAGTAAGCCTTACTTCAGTAGTGGGAAAAGTGATGGAAACCATGTTAAAGGATAGGATTAATGAACATCTAAAAACACATGGATTTCAAGATCAGAGACAACATGGGTTTACTTCAGGGAGATCATGCCAAACTAATCTTATTGATTTTTGATTGGGTAACTAAAATTATAGATCAGGGTGGTGCAGTAGACATTGCTTACCTAGATTTCAGTAAGGCTTTTGACACTGTTGCACATAGAAGGCTTATCAATAAACTGCAATCTTTAAGTTTGGATTCCAACATTGTTGAATGGGTAAGGCAGTGGCTGAGTGACAGGCAACAGAGGGTTGTAGTTAATGGAATATATTCGAAGCTTGGACTTGTCACCAGTGGGGTACCTCAGGGATCTGTACTTGGACCCATTCTGTTTAATATTTTTATTAGTGATATTGCAGAAGGTCTTGATGGTAAGGTATGTCTTTTTGCTGATGATACTAAGATATGTAACAGGGTTGATGTTCCAGGAGGGATAAGCCAAATGACAAATGATTTAGGTAAACTAGAAAATGGTCAGAATTGTGGCAACTGACATTTAATGTGGATAAGTGCAAGATAATGCATCTTGGACGTAAAAACCCAAGGGCAGAGTACAGAATATTTGATAGAGTCCTAACCTAAACATATGAGGAAAGGGATTTAGGGGTGATTATTTCTGATGACTTAAAGGTAGGCAGACAATGTAATAGAGCAGCAGGAAATGCTAGCAGAATGCTTGGTTGTATAGGGAGAGGTATTAGCAGTAGAAAGAGGGAAGTGCTCATGCCATTGTACAGAACACTGGTGAGACCTCACTTGGAGTATTGTACACAGTACTGGAGACCGTATCTTCAGAAGGATATTGATACCTTAGAGATGGTTCAGAGAAGGGCTACTAAACTGGTTCATGGATTGCAGGATAAAACTTACCAGGAAAGGTGAAAGGATCTTAACATGTATAGCTTGGAGGAAAGACGAGACAGGGGGGATATGATAGAAACATTTAAATACATAAAGGGAATCAACACAGTAAAGGAGGAGACTATATTTAAAAAGAAGAAAAACTACCACAACAAGAGGACATAGTCTTAAATTAGAGGGACAAAGGTTTAAAAATAATATCAGGAAGTATTACTTTACTGGGAGGGTAGTGGATGCATGGAATAGCCTTCCAGCTGAAGTGGTAGAGGTTAACACAGTAAAGGAGTTTAAGCATGCGTGGGATAGGCATAAGGCTATCCTAACTATAAGATAAGGCTACGGACTAATGAAATTACTTTGAAAATTGGGCAGACTAGATGGGCCGAATGGTTCTTATCTGCTGTCACATTCTATGTTTCTATGTCTTCAAGCGCTGCAATTCTGCCCTCCATGAGGAAATTTGCTTGTTTCAGCTTGTCCAACTCGGAATGCTTAGCATCCTGCCAGCATTACACAGTGTCACCAGTCTTCCAGCGATTGCAGTCAAGCTGTTATTACCCCCAAATCCTTCTGAACCAATGCTATGTCTGCAGCAAATAGGGTTTTCATTTCCCTTAGCAGGTTTTGAATATCAGCTTTGCTCGCTGGCGTTTGTTCAAAGCTAAAGGTATGTCTTGCCCGTCGCACCTCAGGTGGGTGCTGAGGATCAAGGTTAGCACTTGTTATACCTTGCATGTTGGTGTGTGAGACATCTTCTGTTGCACTCTCTTCCGAAGCACAGTCGGAGTCCCCCCTCGCAGGCGCCATCTTGGTAGGCCGCGGTTGTGGAGTCACCCTGAGCAAAGTGCTGATATCTTGGGAAGAGGAGGCCAAATTGATTCTCCTTAGTTTAGTCTTCTTCCCCATAGTGTCTGGCCATCTTTTGGGTGGTTATTGGGCAGTTTAACCAGACGCATGTGTGTCTACCTTATTCGCTGGCTAGCTCCGCCCCCCGGTTTATTATTATTTTTGTTATAATTTCTTCATATATTTTAGCACATTTTTCTTTATTTTTTTGATCCCATTTATATCCATTGGGTTTTATCCAGATTTGATATGATATATCTCCCACTAACTTCTGACTTCCCCTTTTCTTACCAGCCCCTATTAAGTGTGCAACTGTGTTTCTAACTGTTATTGACACATATTCCTTTTGCTTTTGTTATATTTGTATATGGACTTTTAAGTTACATAATCTTCGGATCTCACTGTATGATTTGGAACACACGCAGCGGAGAGTGGGACGCATGCGTCATCATGAATGGAACGCACGCGTCACGGAAAGAACGCGTCACAGAAGTCGGAACACATACGTCCACATTACTGGGCGGGACGGAATCACAGCATGAAATGCATTACTGAGAAAAGCTGAAGGACCAGAGGATCAGCCCTGAGATTGGCTGATGGTGCCTGGGAGGGGGGAGGTCTTAGCGGGATATTTAAACAGGGGGATGTACTGTGGGTTTGTATGGTGGATGACTGTATACTGACTTTTTTGATTGTCCCTGAGGAAGTACCTGTTAATGGATGAAACCCGTAGGACTGTTTTTAACTCGAAGGCTGCTGCAGTACCCTGAAATTTCCAAGTAGGAGTTCCAGTGGATGTGGTGATATGCCTGTATTGTTTTAAATCTTGTAAGTGTGACCAATAAATGGTATCCTTTTTAAACATTTAAAGATCTACTCTATGTGTCCACTTCTATCTTTCCACATATACCAAATTTGGATGTGAGCAGAGGCGTAACTAGAAACCACGGGGCTGCGGTGCGAAAATTGCCCCTCACGCCACACGTCTATCATCCCCCTTCCATACGTTACCCCTCCCCCCCACACATGCAAACAGATACACATGTAGACACACACACAGACACATACATACACACACACTGACGTTCAGACATACACACACACACACCTTTCCCTGGAGTCCAGTGGTGGCTCAGGCTGATGGGAGTCAGAGTTCCCATTCTGACTCCCTCACCTTTCTCCCAGGCGGCTCCCAGTAGTTGCTGGGAGGAAGTGACCGGTGCAGTCACTTCCTCCCAGCCTCTGATATCATCAGAGGGGGCCCGGTCGCGCTGTTTAAGTGCTGACCGGGCCCCGTGAAATTACATAGCATTGGGTGGCCCTAACAGCATGGCCACCCGATGGGCCCCAGCGGTTACACCGCGCCGGTTGGGGCCACATTACTCACCTGGCGGGACCTGCGGTCACAGGGATCCGCAGGGTGACCGCCCCCCCCCCCTGAAGTGACGGGCCCGCGACCCCTGTAGTTCCGCCACTGGATGTGAGAACAAAGAAGAGAAAAGGGTGCCTTTACATATTTGGAGGATTTCTTAAGGCCTTCTATCAATAAATGTTTGTGAGCGCAACATTTAATTACATTGAATAGATATAAACCAGACTGTATTACACTATTTTGTATATATATTTTTGTAGATATTGGTGTGTATTGTATAATGATGCGAAAATAACTGACCTGGCAGATAGATTTAGGCAATGTGGCTACCTTAAAGGACAACTATAGGCACCCAGACCACTTCAGCTTAATGAAGTGTTCTGGGTGCCAGGTCCAGCTAGGGTTAACCCTTTTTTTTTTTTTTATAAACATAGCAGTTTCAGAGAAACTGCTATGTTTATAATATGGTCAATCCAGCCTCTAGTGGCTGTCTCATTGACAGCCGCTAGAGGCGCTTGCGTGTTTCTCACTGTAAAAATCACAGTGAAAAGACGCCAGCGTCCATAGGAAAGCATTATAAATGCTTTCCTATGAACTGGCTGAACGCGCAGGCGGCTCCTGCTCGGCATGCGCATTCAGCCGATGACGTCGCTATGAAGGAGGAGAGCTCCCCGCACAGGGCACTATAGTGCCAGGAAAACTAGTATGCCATAAGGATATATTTCTAAAGATTCTTGATATTATTTATAATATGTAATATGGCAAATCGTTAGTATTGTGATTTGATGACATCACCTCCACCTCTTGTAACAGTGTTTTTGGAGCAAGAAAACATGTGTGGGAAATTATTAGCATATTGATTGTATACACACACACACATCTATATATACACGCACACACACATCCACGTCACTTCGTGGGGAATTGGTTAGCTTGAGAGAGGCTCTTGTATGGAGCCAAAATGTTGCCAACGTCTGTGTCCTAATAAAATCTGCATTGGATAATGTCTTTGTTCCCAGACCTCTGTTATTTCAAGTTACCGTATTAAATAAACCTACATAACTACAGCGATATGACATATCAATATGTCAGACTTCATTATATCTGACCCCTAACTAGCAATTTAAACAAAAAAAGGAAGCATTGTTGTAGACACTTACACATTTTGCCCATTACTGTAGTATTTCATTGATGTAAAGTCTGTAATACACACACCATTTCTATAATCCGACAACAGAACAGAAGGGCATGGGACACATTTGGTATGGCCACTAGAAAGCTAACATTTTATTGTATCTTTAATTGTTATAGTTTTATGGAATTTATTTATGTAAAGATCATTTATACTTAGAAAGTGTAAATCATACGTATGCCCTATATCATTATTGTCTCCCCTCAATTTTTGATATTCCCACTTAATCTTTAAATCGGAGTTACTCTGTTTCGCCAGTTTACATAAATGGTTATGTGGTCTGCAATTCATTAACTTAGTCAGAAAGAAAGTTTGCTTTCAACTATGATATTATAAGTAAAAGAAATTAAAAAAAAATTATAACCATAAATAAAATAAAGTACATGGGACTGGAGGAATATCCTCGCAATAATGTACAAAAATGAAACTTCAACCCACAGGGTCAAGGTGAAGGTTGTGATGTGTAGATGATGTGTACCAGTACTTTTGAGTTTGTGCTTTATTCTTTTAGTAAACACCAATCAAAAAGAGGGTTACACTCTTCGTACTCCTTGAGTAAGGGATTGTCCAGATCTCCTCTGTCACGGTGTTCTGTAGAGTCGGGGTGCTCAGTTGGAGGCCCTGATGTCCTGACACAGACACACCGATAACCATCTGAGCCAGCTAGATACATCTTCCTGGGCACCCCTACCCAGTCCCTGTGTATGCCACCACTGAGGAGACAAAACAAGCAAGAAGCATATACACATAAATAACACTTCTTTTGTCATCCTGATGACAGCTCCTGGATGGAGCTGAAATGTGGATTTATTTTTAAGCTATAAAATAAAAGTTAAGTTTTATTTCTTGGATTAAGGCCTAGGAGTACGACCATTTATTATATTGATAAATAACACTGTAAATATAACTTCTAAAGGCAGGTGTAGCCAGAGGGTAGATCTCCAGTTATAAAAAACAGGAAAGCTTGCAATGTTCCACAAGAGTTGTAGTTCTTTCACCGTTAGGGATCTCCCATTAGGCCACTTCTCCTCTACAACAAAAACAATTGTGTTTTTTTCCCCCCATTAAAAATATTACACTGTCTCTATTAACAGTATGGTAATTATTTGAGCTACTGTTGCATCAAAATATGTCTAGACGGCTAAACAAACTAACGATCACTTAATAAACACAGGGTAATTACAGTTAACGTCTTAAAATAATGCTGTAATACAACTTTTTCCTATAAGACATTGCATCCTTTAAAAGAAAATACAAAGCAGCGCAACCAGTAAAGGTGATGGTGCCAGGAGCAGGGACGTATTAGCCGCGAGGCAAACAAGGCATTTGCCTTGGGCGGCATTTTTCAGGGGGCGGCAAAAAACGCCGCCCCCCAAATGCCCAGGGCAAATGCCTTGTTAGCCTTGCGGCTAACTGACATCCCAGGCGGTCGGGCGGGCGGGCGGGCGGCCGGCGAGGGAGCACTTCCTATGAGCTCTCTGCTCAGCTCCCTCGCGCGCCGCACAGTGAGGCTGGGAGCCGGAAGATGACGTCATCTTCCGGCTCCCAGCCTCACTCTGCAGCCTGCGCGAGGGAGCTGAGCAGAGAGCTCATAGGAAGTGCTCCCTCGCCGGCCGCCCGCCCGGCAGCCACTGGACCACCAGGGAGAGAGAGACCTCCCCCCCCCCAGCACTCCCAAAGGTAAGGAGGTTGGGGGGGGGATTTAAATTAAAAAAAAAGTTAATCTGTGTGTGTGACTGACTGTGTTTGTGTATGTGTGTGTGTCTGACTGTGTCTGTGTATGTGTCTGACTGTGTGTGTTTGTGTCTGACTGTGTGTGTGTTTGTGTCTGTGCGTCTGTGTGAGTGTGTGTGTGTGTCTGACTGTGTGAGTGTGTGTGTCTGACTGTGTATGTGTGTGTGTGTCTGACTGTGTATGTGTGTGTGTATGTGTCTGACTGTGTGTGTGTGTGTGTTTGTGCCTGACTTTGTGTATGTGTGTGTGTTTGTGCCTGACTGTGTATGTGTGTGTGTGTATGACTTTGTGTGTGTTTGTGTCTGTGTGTGTGTTTGTGTCTGACTGTGTGTGTGTTTGTGTCTGACTGTGTGTGTGTGAGTGTGTGTGTGTATGTGTCTGACTGTGTGTGTGTGTGTGTATGTGTATTTAGAAGGTGGGGCGGCGGGAAGGGTTGGGTGGGGGTGGCGCGGGGGGAGGGGGGTGCCTGAGTTTTGTCCTGCCTAGGGCAGCACAAAACCAGGATACACCACTGGCCAGGAGTGTAAGTAGTCAAACCATTTTAGCGCCACCCAGCCAACCCAGTTACTAAAAGCTTGCCAGGACACTCTTGGAATAGTAACCACTACAGGGGGATGTATTGATTATGGCATTGGAGTGTTCCTTTAATAGTGTAATAGTGTAGATGTAAATGTCTTTGTCCTTTCTTCTGTTAACCATTATATCATCATTGATCATGAAGACCTTGTACTTAGTGGGCAGAGATAGAGGCCATCAGAATATAGTGCAGCCATGTACCATAGAATAGCAATATGTCTTGCTGAAATACTCAGAGTTATTCACTAAAGTGTGAATTATCTGGAATTCAAAGTAAATTTCAAATTTTAGTACAAAATAGGCAAGCTGAAAATATTTCCAAGTCAGCTATGTTTTCTAACGAATTTTAGTCAATAATTTCTAAGAAGGGGGCAGGGCCTACCTGTCATTGAGGACAGACGTTTTTCACAGGAGCTCCTCCACAATCCTGTCATTGAAGACAAAACACGGCCTCATTCAGCCTGATTCAGGGACCACCTTGAGCCCATACCGAAGCCCGACACTGCTGGGCCTGGTAGTAGGGGTCGGTGACCCGGTAAAAGCCGAGCAGCCACACTTGCGACAACATGCAGCCTTGTGTGCACAGGGCGGGGGAGGCGGCTGCTCTCCCGCTCAGGGGCTACCCAGCAACTGCAATGGCGGGACAGGCAACCCGTTACCCCCCTGGGACCGTTGGGGGTGAACACGGTCCAACCCAAGAGAGCTATAACCAGCAGGGGAAAGGGAGAGGTGAAGGACGGCAGACAAGCGACTAACTTTACTACCAAATCGCTCCTAATGGCGGACACCTCGTACCTCCCTCGCAATCAAGCTCACAACATGGAGATCACGCTCCAGAAGAAGCTGGAGGCTATCCTGGCGGCATTCTGGCATAAGATGGAGAGGCGGGCACTGCAACAAGCCCCACCACAAGCAAACGGCCCCTTACCTAAACGGCACATGTCACACACAAGGAAAACACCTGTGGCCCCTACAGACAAGAGGAACCCACGGAGAAGGCACACCAGGCCCCCACAATCACCCCGGCATAAACAGCAGCATAACCACAGCTGGTCGCGCGTGAGACGTGCATCTACACCTCGTCAAGGGTCTCCGTTTTTTCTGGTGTTCAGCACTCGGGGGACCGTCTGGCCCCACGATACGGGACCGGAGCCTGGAGGCTTGAAGCACCTCAATAAGTTGCCCAACAGCGGGATACCCGTGACGGGAGTCGGCTGATAACAGACCAAGAGCCGGGCGCCGGGACTTCCTCTTAAATGTATGTGCCCCTCTCAAACACATAGCACAGAAGGATGACCCAAATTATAATTCTGCTTTACAACTGTGTAATGATCTAAGAGGGAACCTCATGGGACATTTAAATCATCAGCAAGCCTAGTTCAGGAACCTAACTTGAACACAATCTTTAAGTATATGACTGCATCATACTTGTTAGCTAATGTAGCTCATTGAAGTTTATACTGCATGATGTTTAGCCTCTAATAACTCAATCAGCCTGATTACAATGCCTACACAAATTATACACTAGCTTAGTTGTTTCAGCATCGTTAATCAATGAATATCACACTTACCATAATGACAAAACCACATAGACACGCCTGGCATATGTAACAAGTAAGCCGTATGATTTCACTATGATCACTTTTATTATAACAATTTAAAAATGTGCATATACCCACGAATACCCCAATGTTAATAATGTTGAAATGCAGCGTGTGGAATGCCGTCGGGGTACCACACGCATACCGTTATATTTTTTTGCACAGCAAAAATAAAAAATAAATGAAAAAAATAATTTCTGAGATTTCACCCTTAAGTGAACAACCTGTTTCATGGGAATTTGCTTATTGGGTTCAGGGATTGTTACCTGCGATTGGAACACCACACTCTACTGATCCCAGAGCTCGATTCTACATTGCAGGGTGGAAATTGCTTATTCTCTTCTATTCTTTGCTCTTTTAGCTTCAACCCAATGTCAATTACTGCCAAAGCATCCTCTAAGGCTTTTGTGGGCTGTCCTTTTTTATCATAAAATCTTCCTACGAGTTTTCCTGAAAATAAATCAAACATCTGCATATTATGTCCATATGCACCTTTGTACAAACATTTCTTCAGTAACTGCTAATTTCGAAAAAATATACAAATATAAATTATGCTGAACAGAACAGAATTCAAATGACACTTGTAGTAAATGTTTGCAAAATTCTATTTAGTCCAAAGCAAATTTTTAAATTAAAGGGACACTATAGTCATCAGAATAACTAGAGCTTATTGAATTTGTTCTGGTGAGTAGAATCATTACCTTCAGGCTTTTTGCTGTAAACACTGTCTTTTCAGAGAAAATGCAGTGTTTACATTACAGCCTAGTGATAACTTCACTGGCCACTCCTCAGATAGCTGCTAGAGATCCTTCCTGGGTCATGGCTGCCTAAAATGCATCCAAACATTCAGTGTCTCCTCCCTCTGCATGCAGATACTGAACTTTCCTCATACAGAGTCATTGATATTGGTCAACTATTCATCCTTGAATTGTCTTTCCATAGATCCTTAAAGCTTTGTGGGGGTTATTGCTACCCAGACATCAGAAATTGGTATAACTGGGGCAGCACCATTTTAGGTAGTCTAGGCATAGGTGTCTAAACTGAGTTAGGGGCCACAACATGTGATGTTTATGCTTTATCCCTATTAAAGTGTTGTAATCACCTCCCCCTAAGGTGATGTATAAGGTCAGAGGGTTGGGACCATGAAACATCATCTATAGATTTGAGTCTTACACTGTTTGTCAGGTACTGTAACCCAATCACTCTTGTTATACCCAAGAAATCGAATCAAAATTTCCAAGAAACGTATGCGAAAGTGACACTTTTGATACACAACCCCTTACATTTTTCAGGTTGCATACATATCCTTCAAAGGCCATGTTTTTAATAGTCATTTGCAAGTGGTTAAATGAACACATTACATACAGCATATATTATATCCATACACATATCTACGCATGATAAGACTAACGAGAAGGATCCATGCATGTATAATGAAAGACTAAGAAAATGTGCTTTGTAGAGTGTTACTTAGCACCAGTAACACACTAGATTTGGTAAAATATAGCAATTTAAAAAGCCCAAGCAAGAAAAATGGAGTGAAAATAATTAAAAGGTGAATGGGATTTATACCATACCAACAAAATCATAATTCTGCCGATAGAATGAAAGCCAGTTGTTCAGGTGAAGCATTCCCAAAGGAGAAAGTTCAGACAGGTCATCCACAAGACCTTTCTCTGTAAAATCACCAGTCACGTAGGCTCTAGAGGCATCTTTCCCTTGATAATATATTCAAAATGAACAGTTATTAAAAAAAACATGCATGTGATTTAAACCATGAAAATATACATTTTAATTACCGTTAAAAAAAACGTAATCATAAAACGTTTTTTCCCCCTATACTTTCCATTCCTTTTTGCCATTGATGTCTAACCTTTGGTAGTGCAAATGCTGATGACTACATTGCCCATCAGGGCACCCAACTAGCCAAATCACAATTATCCTCTAGGGCACTGTGTGCTGTTGAGTTAATTTAGTAAACTTAGTAGCACCCCACTATAAAAAGGTTCAGAGGAAAGTCTGAGTTCCAGTTAGAATCAGGCAGGAGCCTTACCTGTGCATGTTCTTTGGCACAGCTGGAATACAACGGGAAGGAGGGAGAGGCAATTCTGAATTTAATTTTGAAAAAGAAGAATATACATGCAAGGTACGTACAAAGTGAGACATCAGAGTGAATTTAAAAAAAACTGAACTGGAAAAAAAAATTAACCAAACTATATATGTTTTCAATTCTACTACTACTATGGCTTCAAATGTGAAATTCACTTAGAATTTTCACTTTAGCGAATAACCTTGTTGGTCAATATTCTGTAATGTGCACTTGGGCCAAAATATAAATGTAAAAGTGATTTGAAAGGAAAATATTATTATTAGATGTGTATGGTATATGCAGACGAATAAAATGATATTGTATTATTGTATGATGTTATTTGGTTTGCATTGTGCACCTACTTGTCCTTTGCCACTAATGGCTTGCATTGCAGCTGCTATGGCTGGCTGAGGATAATAAGTATGTCTGCCCAGTGCCATGTATGAGTGCAGGTGTATGGCATCCCCCCACCCACCCAATGACTGTCCCCTACCAGGGGCGTACCTGCAAAGAAGCTGTAGGACCCCCCCGGGCCATAGTGCTTGCTCCCCTTCTTCACATCAAACACCAGCCCCAGCACAGCCAGGTATAAGCCCGGGCTGCCCGGCCCCCCATTGTGCTCTGACAGCTCCTTCTGGCCGAGCACCCTGCCCCCGGACACCCCGCACTCACTGCCCGCAAACAGGGAGATCAGGCCGGGTACACTGGGAAACGAGGCCGGGCCCAGGAGCACGATCAGCACGGCCGCTGCGCACACAATAGCCGCTGCCAGATAGCCGAACATGGGGCACACTGGGCACAGTCTCACCGCCGCACACTGCCTTCCGGGAGCATTCAGAGGGAGGAGACAGCACTACAGCGCCACCTGCACGATTGGGATGGAAGAGAAAATCCACTCCTAGAGGAAAAGAGAGGTACTGCAGCGCCCAATGGTATTTACTTTCCAGTATGGGCACTGCTAGGCAGGGAGCAGGGACAGAGCTCAGCCATGTGTCTGACTTGGAACCCTAGGAGTAGTAATCCTTAGTAACTGGTGTGACAAAGGAATATTTATCCATGACATACCCTAAATTTGTAGATAGACAGCTAGGTAGATAGGTAGGTAGATCTCCTAAGATAATGACCAACAGGCAGATAATCATGTGGTGAATACGGGGATATGGAGGTTACAAATCTACCCCAGAAAATCTCATGCAATTTTTAAGATGAGATGTTCCACTGTAACAAAACATATTAAAGAAACATTAATAATATTAGGCAGGGCCGGACTGGGAAAAAAATTAGGCCCGGGCATTTTTCAATTAGAGCGGCCCCCCAAGAAGGGGGCGGGGCCAGAAAGGGTGTGTTTTGTCATCACTAATGACAAGTACGCCCCTTCTGAAAGTGAGCATGTTGGTTCAATGCGCAGAGCCCCGCTGAAGAGCTCTAGCATTAGAAAAAGGCCCTGTATTTGTTCTGCGCAGCGCAAGCAAATGTAATAACATGATTGCGCTTTGTTTGCTTTTAAATTGTTTCTGGTGTCTCCACAAGTGGGATACCAGAGGATAAAAGGGCAAGGAAAGTGTATGGGGCATGTGTTTGGCGCATGCTTGTGGGATTGCCTGTGTGTGTAGAGTGTGGTGTGGTGTGGTATTGTGTAAATAGGTCAATTTTGTGGTGTAATATGTGTGGCTAGGGGCTGTAGAGAGTGCGTGTATAGGGGCATAGTGTTATAGGGGAAGTAGTGTGTGTGTATAGGTTACGTAGTGTGTGTAGGGGTTGTAGAGAGGGTGTGTTTAGAGAATGTTGTATGTGTTTGCTTACAAGGAATGTAGTGTGTGTGTAGGTGGTGCAGCGTGTGTGTAAAGGACCCAGAGTGTGTATAGAAGATTGTGTGTGTGTGTATGTGTAGAGGGTTAAGAGTGCATATAGGGTAAGGGATCTAGCGTGTATCTGGAGTGTAATGTGTGTAGTGGTGCAGTGGGTGGGGTGCAGTAGTGAGTGTGTGTATATATATTTAGAATATATTTGGACGTATTGAATGTGTGAGGTGCGCAGTATGTTTGTGTAAGAGGGGTGCTGTGTGTGAGGGTGTTTTTAATCTGCTGTCACATTCTAGGTTTCTAATTTTCTTTGTCTGTTAACTCACTGAGGGTTATTTTATATAATATATATATATATATATATATATATGTGTGTGTGTGTGTGTGTGCTGTATATGTGTGGGAGTGAGGGTGCTGTCTGTCTGAGGGTGCTGTCTGTCTGAGGGTGCTGTCTGCATCTGAGGGTGTTGTGTGTGTGTCTGGGGGTGCTGTGTGTGTGTCTGGGGGTGCTGTGTGTGTCTGGGTGCTGTGTCTGGGGGTGCTGTGTGTGTCTGGGTGCTGTGTGTGTCTGTGGGGTCTGTGCTGTGTGTGTGTCTGGGGTGCTGTGTGTGTGTCTGGGGGTGCTGTGTGTGTGTCTATGGGGTGCTGTGTGTGTGTCTGGGGTGCTGTGTGTGTGGGGGGTGCTGTGCTGTGTGTGTCTGGGGTGCTGTGTGTCTGGTGATTGCTTTCTGTGGGTGTCTAGATTGCTGTGGGTGTCTGGGTTGCTGTGTGTGTCTGGGGTGCTGTGCTGTGTGTGTCTGGGGGTGCTGTGTCTGGTGATTGCTGTGTGTGTGTCTGGGGGGTGCTGTGTGTGTCTGGGTGCTGTGGGTGTCCTGGGGTGCTGTGTGTGGGGGTGCTGTGTGTCCTGGGTGCTGTGGGTGTCTGGGGGGTGCTGTGTGTGTGGGGGAGGGGGTGCTGTGTGTGTCTAGAGTGCTGTGTCTGAGAGAGGTGCTGTGGGTGTCTGGGGGGTGCTGTGTGGGTGTCTGGGGGGTGCTGTGTGGGTGTCTGGGGTGTGCTGTGGGTGTCTGGGGTGTGCTGTGTGTGTGAGGGGGCTATTAGGGAATTTATTTTAAATATTTTTTTTTTATTTGTGTAAAAAAAAAGTTATGTCCCCCTCCTTACAGCACTTTATGGAGTGGGGGGGAGGAGATCCGTTCTGCCTGGTGGGTGGGGTGGAGCCATGCTGTTATGCTTCCCTGGTGGTCCAGTGGTGAGAGTGAACTCTAACCTGCGGGTTAGAGTTCACTCTCGCGAGATCTGAGCGTTGCCGCGGCAACGCTCAGAATCCCGCGAAAGGACTCGGCGGAGCTGCTTGTTAGAGCTCCGCCGGTCCTCTCTCCTGCCTCCCTCCCCAGCTGGCGGCCGCATCTCCCTGTCTGTGGGCCGGTGAGGGAGATCTGTGATCTCCCCACCGGCCCATGGAGGCACATAGCAGGGCCGGCGCTCGGATAGCGCCGGCCCTGCAGGGGCCGGCCGGGGAGATCCTGTGATCTCCCTGCCGGCCTCGGCCCCACGGCCATCGCGGCCCACCGGGCATTTGCCCGGTATGCCCGATGGCCAGTCCGGGCCTGATATTAGGAATACTGTAAGCTGTATTCCTAACACTGAAGTGTCCTTTTGTCCTGTTGCTTTTTATTTATCACCAGTGCTGTACCTGCAGTTTTGTAACATATTATAACTCCACTTTAAAAAAAATAAAAAAATCTTTATTTATGAATGACACGCAATTAACAATGACAGGAATGGTATAGTGTCTTATTTTAACATAAAGTATCCAATCAACATAATGGTAAGGCAATGGATCAATTATATAACACATGCGGGGCCAGATTAAGAGCCCAGTGGGCCTGGTGCTGGCAATTATGATGGGCCTAATTACAGAATCTTATCGACCTAAAACACAAGCATCATGTATCTGATGGAGATGGTGCTGAAGGGAAAGAAAACAGCAGCTATAAGAAAACACACACTCTATGCTAATCTCCCTCTAATTTATGTTTTCATCTTTCAAGTATATCCATAACCCCTAACAGCAGTGTCTAATGAAGCAGGCAGTTAATGAACGGGGTAAAAGGGTGTGCCGTGACGCAAATCATGAAACCTGCCAAAAGGGACGAACATGCCCAAAAAGGGGGCATGTCTGCCCAAAGAATTGGAAGGCCAGCCTGGCACGAATGCATGTCAGGCTGCCAGCCAATCATGCAGGCTGTCCAACTAAGGGCATACTATGCAGGCAGCACCCTGAGCTTGGCATAAATGCATCAAATGATGCACTCGCTCAACGCTCGCTAAGGACTGTCCCCTAGCACTCGCTGGTCCACTTGTCTCCTTACTAGGAGACAGAAGCTCCCGGTATATAGTATGGGACAGAGAAAATCTGTATGTAGTGAGTGTAGAAGAAAGGGAACATGCCACAGTGTTAGAGAGACCAAAGTCAGCATTACCTTAACTAATTTCATTGTCAACCAGTCCACACAAGTTTTGTTCCCATACATCCCTCTTAAGTTTCTATACTTAAGCAAGAGTATGTGAAAAGTAGTTAGAGTTGCCACGCTTCTTGGAAACATATACCGCCTTACTAATTTGCATAATTAATTATGTATGTTTGTTATCACATTATGTAAATCACGAGTGACATACGAGAAAATGCTGTAAAATCACAAAAAAACTACGTACAGTTTGATTTTGCTGTATAGATGGATTGCTCCCAGTGTCTCCCTGTCCCCCAGTGTCTTAAGTCTCCCCTGTCTTAGTGTCCCTATGTATCAGTGTCCCCATGTCTCCCAGTGCCCTCATGACTTAGTGTCCCCTAGTGTCGATTACTCCAGGTCTCACAGTGTCCCTATGTATCACGGTGTCTCAGTGCCCCATGTCTCACAGTGTCCCCTAGTCGTCCAATTTCACCATGTCTTAGTGTCCCCTGTCATGTCCCCAGGTCTCCCAGTGACCCTATGTATCCCAGTG